CAGGGCCCTAGGTTTGAGTTTGATTTGGATAAACCACTGTAAAGGACATTTTGGGAACAAGGAGGGGAAATTGGAACACAGATTGGGTTTTAGACAAGAAAAAAATTTATTGACAAGGAAAGATGGAGATTATTAACTAAAGAAAGCAGGTTACAAACAGCACACCATCTCATTTTGGTAAAAATATGTGTATGTATATTTATATATGCATGGAAAAAGCTTTCAGGATCTACACACAGGTGTGTTAACAGTGGTAATCTATGGGTGGTAAGAATACGGTGCTATCATTTTCTTATTTTTTTAATCTCAATTTATAACTTTCTGCAAGGCACAAAGGCTGCTTTTTGTAATAATAAAAATTAAAACATGAATGAATTTTTAAACTGTTTCAAGTAGGCTTCAACCGACTCAGATTTTCACTGAAAGCTGTCCAGGAAATTTTTTCTGTGTCCTCCACCTTGGAAATGAATAGTGTGTCCCAACTTCTAAGTAGGTTTCAGCGTGAAGGATTAAAAATTTTAACAGTCCTGGAAGTGAAAGGGAATCAATCAGATATTGAGCATGCATACATTTTCTCCTGGCAATGTCAGTAAACGACCTCCCCATCAGGAGCAGGGAAGGTTGCAAGAAAGCAACCTGACAACCAGGTGCTCACCAGTCAACACTGAAGCAACTGTTTACTGCTCTAATGGAAATGTCCACAGTTCATCAACTCCTAAGGGTAGTAAGTTCATAGAAAATTTAGGAAATGCTGAGTTCCAATGCTGTCTGACAAGGAGAAGGAAGAGTATTTTGAAGACAACTGCAAAAGACTGGAAGGGTCACTTATTGGATGCTATTGAACTGATTATCAAGAGACTTGCGTTCGAGCCTTACGCCTAAGGAACTGGGAAAGTTCACAGCCATGGGACTCCTCATATTCTTTATCTATAAAGTGAGGTCTAGACAAAATCTAACACTTTAATTGCTTCACAACCATGGTTCATTGAATAACAAGATATTCTGTGGGAAACTAAGTTATAACATTAAATATCCCGGAGAATTTCGCCAACATCCCCTTTATGAATTCTCAGACTGCTGAGCTAGTTGCCTGTAGAGGGCAGTAGTCAGTTAATAACATCTTTTTGACTCGAGCCGGAAGGGACTTTATGGATCCCTCTTTGTTATAGAGAAGGAAATTGAGGCCCAGAGAAATCAGTTTACTTGCTGAGAATCACACAGGTAGCACTAAAGCAGAGGTGAAAATATCTTTTTTTTTAAGTTAAATTTTTAAATTGAAATACAGTTGATTTACAATGCTGTGTTAGAAAATGAAGAATTCTGATCCATGTTTAAAAAAAAAAAACTTACAGAGATCTAAACTTGAATTGCATTTAGTTGTCCATTTACTAAATCACCTCTTCTGAAAACAGTAACGTCACCATCACCATAAAACAAGGACACTATCCCAGAAAACCTACTCTTTAAGACATTTTTCTTGAAGACATTTCATTCCATTGTCACTCCCCAGTCACAGTGCTATCCAGTGAAATTCCCTCAGCCTGTTACCATTTTGTTGATAAACTATGCTGTTGAAATACTTTTTTGCCAAATGTATGTATGTAGTCCTCAAAATGCTTTGGGGTACTGGATGGTGTGTAGAGTTTTTTTTTTTTTTCCCTCTTAATCCCATCAATGGCTGTGGTTACCTGAGGTTGGTGTTCAGTTATTTCAGTCATCCTGTGATCAGATTAGATCCACCACTTTGCAAGATTGTCTCTTCCTTGCCAATATTCCAGAAAATTCCAGTTCATGTGGTCAAATACTATACATGGACTCAGGCTTTGTAAAACCATGACGAGGATATGTTTGATGTGTTAGCTTTGGGCTTTTCAGTTTGTTCTTATTTTGAGAAATAGGCATATGTAGTGGCATCATGCCGCAGTAGGAGAATCGTCAACTTTGGAGCCTAACAGAGGCTTAAATCCTGCCTCTGCTGATATATCAGCCAGGTCTCTGCAACAAGTTACTCTGACTCTATGAGTATCAGATTTCTCATTACAGTATTTACCTTATAAGTGAAGATTAAATGAGAAAACTATAAGAACCTAGATCAGTGCCTGTAGTATATGACCTGTTATTAGAATTAGGAGAGAGCATAAAGGAGAATTCCACAGTGTAATGGATTCAAGGTCATGGCTATTAAAGCAAGGTATTGTCTTTAAAATGACCCATGGAAAATAGATTAGATGAACATTCCAGTGGATAAGTTATAGGAAAGTAGCTTTTAACCCACCACAAGCTAGTGCCATGGTGCTCTTATTGTTCACCAACTTTCACAGCAGTGACATTACTAAAATATAGCCTAAGTCACCCCACGCATGTTAGTGGTGATCAAAGAGCATGCTCCATTAAGAACATGAGTAGAGGAACTTAGAACAGTTAGCCACTCTCACTCCATGATATTTCTAGGATGCAGAGAGAGCATTTCAGTTTCTTTTGCAACCCAGTCTTTTCTTAGAGCTTATGGAAAAGAGAATGAAGGAGGTCCTCAAAAACATGATGGTCCAAGCATAGGTACACTGTTGCTATGGCATTTTTTTCATAGTTTTGCATAATTGGTCCATACCCTTTGAGTGCATATTATGTTCAGAGCACCAGACATGTATTATTTCATTCAAACTCCACCACAACCTGATGGGGAGATACTATTACTGACTTCAGTATATTGACGGAGAAACTGAGGTTTGACAAGTGTGTGTTGCTTGCCCAGCTCGAACGTAATGTGGTGAAACCAGAATGAAACCCTAACAGTAACTCCAGAGTCTGTGCTGGAGACACAGCACAATATATAAGTTTGGCATCTTCTATATTGGCTTTTGTGAATGTGGTAATAGTGGGCAAAAAGGTAGATAGCAACCTGAGGGGGAAAAAAACCTCAAGAAATCTACTGAGAACCAAAACCATTTCCATCTCCACAGTCTACATTAACGTAACTTTTCTATTCCGTGGGTCTCCTTCAGCAGAACTTTACTGTTCCAGAAAGCCCAAGAAGATGGCAATTACAAATGACTTTATCGTTCACTCCAAAGACCTCCCCAAAGACCCTTCAACTCATCTACTGAAAACATCAAAGGATAATTTTACATCAATTTGAGCATTTTCAAACCCCTCACCTCAAAATCTTCACCTTGCTGTGTCCATTAATCCTAAAGATTATACTGTGGTCCTCACCCAGCCCTAACCAGACCTCCCCACTCTCAAGATGAAAGACACACATTGAAGAAAACCTTACTTCAAAATCTCAAAACTATTCCCAACCTTTGCCCTCCCTATTCTGAGCCTCGGCGAAGACTGTTGAGGTGGTGAGATCTCGATTACCTGTAAAGCATTCGTTTCTTAACTGGGGCTGATTTTGCCTCCAAGAGGAAATGGAGCAATGTCTGGAGACACTTTTGATTGTCATGACTGGGGATGCTGCTGGCCTCTAGAGGGTCAGGGTCAAGATTGCTGCTAAACATCCTACAATGCCCAGGATAATCCCCGTCTTCTAACAAAGAATTATCCAGTTATCAAAAGGTTATTTTGATAATATTTGGGGGAGCTAGAATTCAAACCACCGATTAGCAATGTCTAAATTCATTCTATATAGAAGTATCTCAAACTCTGAACCATTCTGGCTATGTTCTTATTTTCATTGCTATTCATTTCCAGTATCCCTGCAGGTTAGTAAGCCCCAAATCCATGGTGCCCATCCTCAAGAATTTCATCCCGAGAGTCTATACTACAGACAAATACCTGACTTTCTATTTATGGGGTTTTCCATCTTCTACGAAAAGATCACCTGGTAGTTCCTTTATCTTTAATTTCTATACTTTGTATTCTGAATGAGCAGTTTGAATTGATGGACTTGAGACCACAGTTTTTTAGGAGATATCCTCATCTGTCTTAATAACTAGAGTTTCTGAAGGTGTGAAAATGGCTTTAATGAACAGACAGCTTGTTCTCCTGAAATCAAACAGCACTAAATCATAGCATGCTAAAAGTAATAGAGAATATGGAATACTGCCTTTGGAAATTAGAATTGAGTTTTACCTTTTCTTCTAGATATTTCCACGGATAACAATATTTCCTCGGACCTCAGTGTTTGAGTTATAAGATCAATTTGTAACTGAAAATATAAACAGTCTACCTTTCCTGCCTGTGGTGGGTAAAAGGAAAAAGCAACTTTATATAGAAAGAGTTCAAACACTGATATCACTTAAGTCTTGAAATACTGTGCGGTGATTTTCTGAAGGCAAGTAATGGGCTTTGAATCTTGGGGACTTAATGAAATTAAATACCAGCCCTCACCGTGGGCACAGAAGCCAGGACTTGTGTTGTTGGAATGAAGCCCGTGATGATCTCAGCCTGTGCAGAAATTACATTGATAAACCCACAGTGCCTTTGTATTAGGCAGCAAAGTGTCTGTCACCAGGAACTTCACTGAATCTTCTGGAAGCTCTCAAGCCCATCATAGAAATATTGCCTATCTCAACACTTGTCACAGGAAGGACCCGGGAGGTTTTCCTTCTTTAAAATTTTGGGGGTGATGAGAGTCTTGAGTCTTGTGGGGAATCCACTCAGACCCCCAGAGTTGGTATAAAGATAATGTTAAAGACAAAACATTTTAGCTAAAGCAGAGGCGGAAAGAAATCTTATTTAAATGGCCCTTACCTGACCATGGCAGAGACTCCAGAGAAATACAACTGCTGTTAACCCCCTTCCCAGGGAGTTTCCTGCAAATTCAGCTGCCATGGAGACAGACTACCCATTCCCTTAGCATCAAAAAGTCCCATAGAACCTTCCCTACCTTCCCACTGAAGCCCTAATCACCACCACCCCTCTGTTAAATTTGGTACATGAACCTGTTAATCCCTGGCTATTGAATGAGTTCCTCATCACTGACTACTTTCACCTGACTGCATGAGTAATCCTTGTCTTTTCTCCTGTTAATCTGTCTATTGTTGGTTAATTTGTAGGCCCTCAGCCACTAGACATCAGTTGGAAGAAGAAAAGTTTTCCTGCTTCAACAGTTCAACAGTTTTGGTGATAAGGACGGGGTGGTAGGGGCGCCCTGCTCACCTAGAGACTGTAGCTGAGATCTTGGGACCTCTGACCAAGCTGACAGGTAAGTTTCCTTACCAGCCAGACTCCCAGGTCTCTCAGGGTCTGGTTGAGCAAAGGCAGTAAGAGCTTCTCCTTTTCTTTTTCTTTCCAAGGTTGAGATTAGCAGGAGAAAGTACTTAACACAAACTCTTTCTTTGTCTATTGTGACTCGGTTTTTTGTTTTTGTTTTTTTTGCTGTGAAGATATTTTTATATTTACTTTTTTTGAATTTTATTTATTTTTTATACAGCAGGTTCTTATTAGTTATCCATTTTAGACATATTAGTGTATACATGTCAATCCCAATCTCCCAGTTCATCCCACCACCACCACCACCACCACTTAACCCCCTTGGTGTCCAAAGGTTCGTCCTCTACATCTGTGTCTCTATTTCTGCCCTGCAAACTGGTTCATCTGTACCATTCTTCTAGTTTTGAGTACTCTTATTGTAGATCCTTTCCCTCCCAGGGATAGCTACTCTGTCCTATCTGTTCATCTCTTTGTGTGTCCTGAGAGCTTGGTTTGGATCTAGTAAGTGCATTCACTTTCTGGTTTTCTGTCTGCCCAGGGATGCAGGTTTTTGGATCTGTGTTCAGAAGAAGCCAAACATTAGGTTGAGATCATGAGAATCTGTAGACTGCAGGACAAATATGTGAGCAGACTGGGCACCCCATTTGTGGCTGGTGTCCTGCTAACCATTACCAGCTCTTAGTGCGTTCATCTCAGTCAAGATAAAGGGTCTTAGTCCGTAAGGACCTTATCCTCTGTTTCCTCGTTGCCTTGCTTGTGCTGGGAAGTTCTATCCCGGTATCACCTGCCTGGTGTCAGACACAGATCGGAAGGTCTGTAACTAGTGTCTCACTTTAAAACAAACAAAAAAAATTATTTTCTTTATTTTTTTGGCTGCGTCAGGTCTTAGTTGCAGCATGTGGGATCTTTCATTGCAGCGCAGGCGCTTTGTTGTGGCACGTGGGTTTTCTCTCTCTAGTTGTGGCACGCGGGCTTAGTTGCCCTGTGGCATGTTGGATCTTAGGTCCCGGACCAGGGATCGAGCCCGCGTCTCCTGCATTGGAAAGTGGATTCTTTACCACTGGAACACCAGGGAAGTCCCGAGGTAGCTCACTTTTATGGGAAACTAGAGACACATGTTTTCACAAACACCACTCCCATCACCTGTGGCAAATGAGATTCTTTGCTTTCTTTCTCTTTGGCTATTGTTGGGAGTGACTAAATTATGGGTTTTCATTTTCTGCACCCTTTTGGGGGGTTGCCTCTTGGGTCCATGGCTAAATCATAAAAAGGTCCATTGGTTTTGAGGCACATTTTAGAATACATATACATTTGCAGATCCTAAGTCGTCAGTGGCCAGACAACAGATCTTTTGATTTGAAAAAGAGTTTATATTTGTAAGAATTTTTAGAGAACTCTCACCCTAAACAAATATCCTATTACCAATATGGAAGAATCGAATTGAAAGGAGGACATAAAGAAAGATCACAGCTAGCTTAAAAGTCTCCCTTAACAAAATTAAAGAACAGAAATCAAAATCTATATCCACCGTAAACTCCCTCCTCCACCTCCCTGCTGCAAATGGCCCACTTGGGTCTTTCCCCTGAAGGTTAATTGGGCTAAAGTGGAATGAAGTACTCAGAGGGAAGGAATACATCCTAAAGCCTTTGTTGAACGATTTATAAAAACATTCCAAAGACACAGAGCTCTAAATCCAGAAGCCCTGGAACACAGGAATCTTGGTTTCTGCCTTAATTGGAACTCTCTCTGATATACGTAAGGATTTCAAAATAATATAGTTGGATGGGTAGGCCAGCCCCTTAATATCACTACTGAGGCTGCCACTCACTTCTTTGAAGAATTAAAAATATCTGTCCTGGGGCTTCCCTGGTGGCGCAGTGGTTGAGAGTCCGCCTGCCGATGCAGGGGACACGGGTTCGTGCCCCGGTCCGGGAAGATCCCACATGCCGCGGAGCGGCTGGGCCCGTGAGCCATGGCCGCTGAGCCTGCGCGTCCGGAGCCTGTGCTCCGCAATGGGAGAGGCCACAACAGTGAGAGGCCCGCGTACCGCAAAAAAAAAAAAAAAAAAAAAAAAAAATCTGTCCTTACCTTACTAACCAAGTCTTTATAAAATCAGAAATATGGCTCTAGAAGTAACCCGAAGTACACCCATCTTTCTGACCACTTCCAAAGCCTCCCCTATTCATCTCAAGATACTTGCTGATACTTTAAGAAGTCAGGATGTTGGAAAAGGGACTGACCTGAACTTAAGAAACACAAATAGTAATTACGCTAGGCCTCAGCCTTCTCAGTCCGGCTCCTCTGAAACCTCTTCCCAACTAGGCCTCAACCTGGGCCAGTTAGAAACTACAGACTCAACACAAATAATTCTGCCCACCTACTACATCCCCCTCTCCCCCTCCCCCCTTAAAAATGCCTGTTTGCAAAGGCTCAGTGCTACCAGACGAATTTGCTGTTGTCCCGGCCAAAATCTGGTAATAGGCAAATATGCCCCTGAAAACGCTCCTAGAGCAGTTACTTTAAAAGGTTGCTTTTTTCCTCTCCCTCTTTGAGATGTATCTCTTCTACCACCCAGAACCCTCTTCTCCAGGACCCGAGAGCCGTCTCTTTAAAATGCAAACATCCAAGGAAATTAGGCTGGCTCTCAGCCTGAGGGATCCCTTGCTTTTAATTGTACTATTGCTTCCTGTCATAAAATATAAGAAATTTATTTCTCCTCTTAATAAAAACCAATTAATATCCCCCTTTAATGAGCCCCCAGTGCTCTTTTCCTTAGCACTCCCCGGGCTTTAAAACGTAACTTCTCGGGACTTCCCTGGTGGTCCAGCAGTTAAGACTCTGCGCTCCCAGTGCAGGGGGCCCAGCTTCGATCGATCCCTGGTCAGGGAACTAGATCCTGCATGCCACAACTAAAAAGATCCTGCACGCGGCAACTAAGACCCAGCATAGCCCAACAAACAAACAAACAAATAAATAGTAACTTCTCAGGCCGCTGAAACAATCACCTGAGTGAGACTGAGCTACAGCCTCCACTGATTATACATCAAGGCAAAGAAAAGGTCTTAAAAGTCTCCCCCACAAATATTGGTAAGGAGCTTTAGCCCATATGTTGAACAAATAACAACTCATTTCATCTGCTAGAAACATAGTCTGAATAAAAAGTGGGGCAGGGCTTTCCCTGGTGGCGCAGTGGTTGAGAGTCCGCCTGCCGACGCAGGGGACACGGGTTCGTGCCCCGGTCCGGGAGGATCCCACACGCCGCGGAGCGGCTGGGCCCGTGAGCCATGGCCGCTGAGCCTGCGCGTCCGGAGCCTGTGCTCCGCAACGGGAGAGGCCACAACAGTGAGAGGCCCGCATACCGCAAAAAAAAAAAAAAAAAAAAAAAAAAAAGTGGGGCAAAGACAAACACTAACTCTTACCTAAACTAATAAATTTTGGATTACTATGAAAGCCATAAGGTCTCTATTTGTGTCTGCATGTATGCTTATGTCTGTCTATGTATGTAATATGTATATGTGGTATTTTCTTACCCCTGGATGGTATAGCCAAATTAATTTATAAAATTCCTTAAAAGAGCTCTACTTTAATTGGCTTAGAGAAAAATAAAAACATATAAATGAAATATTCCTAAAACTCAGAAATCTAAATTTTTTTTCAAATTCACATGATTTGGGTAAATCTTTAGTAAATAAGACTAGTTTAATATCATTTGTTTAATAATAAAAATAACTTTCTTCTGATTTATCAGCGTTATGATTCAAACATATTTTCAGACTACTTGGGTTTACTAATCAAATAAGCTATTATTTACTATATGTTTAAGATTATAAAACTGAACAGATTTTATTTTTTTTATTGGAGTATAGTTGCTTTACAGTGTTGTGTTAGTTTGTGTGGAACGGCAAAGTGAATCAGCCACACGTATACATATATCCCCTCTTTTTTGGATTTCCTTCCCAGTTAGGTCACTACAGAGCACTGAGTAGAGTCCCCTGTGCTATACAGTCGGTTCTCATAAGTTATCTGTTTTATACATAGTAGTGTCTATATTGTCAATCCCAATCTCCCAATCCATTCCCCACCCTCCTTCCCCCCTTAGTATCCATACATTTGTTCTCTATGGCTGTGTCTGTATTTCTGCTTTGCAAATAAGTTCATCTATACCATTTTTCTAGATTCCACATATATGCGTTAATATACGATATTGGTTTTTCTCTTTCTGACTTACTTCACTCTGTATGACAGTCTCTAGGTCCATCCATGTCTCTGCAAATGGCACAATTTTGTTCCTTTTTATGGTTGAGTAGATTTTTTTTTAATTGAAGTATAGTTGATTTACAATGTTTCAGGTGTACAGCAAAGTGATTCAAAGATATATATATGTGTGTGTGTATGTATATATATTCTTTTTCAGGCTCTTTTCCATTATAGGTTATTACAAGAAATTGAATATAGTTCCCTGTGCTATACAGTAGGTCCTTGTTGTTTATCTATTTTATATATAGTAGTGTGAATCTGTTAATCCCAAATTCCTAATTTATCCCTCCCCCCTCCTCCCCTTTGGTAGCCATAAGTTGGTTTTCTATGTCTGTAAATCTGTTTCTGTTTTGTAAATAAGTTCATTTATATCATTTTTTTAGATTCCACATATAAGTGATATCATATGATAGTCATCTTTATCTGACTTACTTCACTTAGTATGATAATCTCTGGGTCCATCCATGTTGCTGCAAATAGCATTATTTCATTCTTTTTTATGGCTGAGTAATATTCCATTGTGTATATACACCACATACTCTTTATCCATTCATCTGTAATGGGCACTTAGATTGTTTCCATGTCTCAGCTATTATAAATTTTGCTGCTATGAACATTGTTGTGCATGTACCTTTTCAAATTAGAGTTTTCATCTTTTCTGGATATATGCCCAGAAGTGGTATTACAGGATCATATGGTAACTCTATTTTTAGTTTTTTAAGGAACCTCCATACTGTTCTCCATAGTGGCTGCACCAATATTCTCACCAACAGTGGAAGAGGGTTCCCTTTCCTCCACACCCTCTCCAGAATTTAGTATTTATAGACTTTTTGATAATGGCCATTCTGACTGGTGTGAGGTGATACCTCATGGTAGTTTTGATTTGCATTTCTCTAATAATTAGCAGTGTTGAGCATCTTTTCATATGCCTGCTGGTCATCTATATGTTTTCTTTGGAAAAATGTCTATTTAGGTCTTCTGCCCATTTTTTTCTTTCGACTGAGTTATTTATTTTTTTGATAGTGAGCCATATAAGATGCGTGTTTTGGAAAATAATCCCTTGTTGGTCGCATTGTTTGCAAATATTTTCTACCATTCTGTAGGTTGTTTTTTCGTTTTGTTTATGGTTTCCTTTGTTGTGCAAAAGTTTTTAAGTTTAATTAAGCCCCATTTGTTTATTTTTGCTTTTGTTTCTATTACTCTAGGAGACAGATCCGAAAAAAATATGACTGCGATTTACGTCAGAGTGTTCTGCCTATATTTTCCTCTAGGAGTTTTACAGTATATGGCCTTACGTTTAGGTCCATTTTGAGTTTATTTTTGTATATGGTGTTAGAGAATGTTCTAATTTCATTCTTTTACATGTAGCTCTCCAGTGTTCCCAGCACCACTTATTGAAGAGACTGTCTTTTCTCCATTGTTTATTCTTGCCTCCTTTATCATAGATTAATTGACCATAGTGAGTGGGTTTATTTCTGGGCTTTCTATCCTGTTCCATTGATCTATGTGTGTGTTTTTGTGCCAGCACCATACAGTTTTGATTACTGTAGCTTTGTAGTATAGTCAAGTCAGGGAGCAAGATTCCTTCGAGATTTTATTTTAATCAAATTAAATCATTGCTCTTACAAATTTTATTTCAACAAGAATTGTGTTTTATTATACGTCTACTTAGAAGTACTTTCCAAAATCTTTTTGGTAACTTGAAACCTTAGAGTTATACAAAGTTAAATAATAGATATCCATTAAATATCCATTAAATATCTAGATCATTTCCAAATAATATAAAATACTGAAACATTAATTACTAAACATAGCTTTATCTATTTTGACTTCTTATTTATACAGGAAACTAAAGATATTTGGTTCTATGAATAAAGATGATCTTTTTGTCATATTGAGAAATTGTACTATGAGGACAGCATAAGTCTCTAGAAACTGTGAGATGATGTATTGATAAATTTGCTAATCTACTACACAATGCTGGTCTATGACAGTTCACAGTTGTCTACTTCCTAGTTTTCTCTGGGAAATAAAGGTTACTAAGTGTTCAAAATTATAATCAATATATGTAAATGAAGCTACTAGAAATAATAAGGGTGAAGAAGAAAACTCTGAATGCAAAGTATTCAAGGAGTGTAGGATTGTGTTTGTTAAGAAAAAGAAAAGAGTAATTCTGTCCAAAAGTAGTTGTTTAAAGATTGTTCCATTGGCACTGTGAAGACGTGTGCTGAAGTGCGCCCCCCGGCCGCTGCAGCCCCTCGCCGCTGCGGTCACCTCGCTTCTCCACGCCTCGGTCGGGGGTCCCCCAGCCAGCCCGGGGCGCCGCACTGCCATCCGGACGGGCCCTCAAGCAGCTCCCGGCGCCCGGGACCCCGGCCCGGCTGCTCGCCCGCGGCCTGCCGGCCGCACAAGTCTCCGGAGCCGGGCCTAGGACGGGCGGCGGCTCGGCGTGACCGGGCTGGGTTCGGCGGCATCCACATGGCTGCGGCTGGCTGGCGGGATGGCTCCGGCCAAGAGAAGTACCGGCTCGTTCGTGGTGGTCAGCGGGAGCGGCGCGGCAAGTCGGCGCTCACCATCCAGTTCATCCAGTCCTATTTTGTAACGGATTATGATCCAACCGTCGAGGATTCCTACACATAGCAGTGCGTGACAGATGACCGGGCAGCCCGGCTAGATATTCTGGATACAGCGGGACAAGAGGAGTTTGGAGCTATGAGAGAACAGTATACGAGAACTGGCGAGGGTTTCCTGTTGGTCTTTTCAGTCACAGATAGAGGCAGTTCTGAAGAAATCTATAAGTTTCCAAGACAGATTCTCAGAGTAAAGGATCGTGATGAGTTTCCAATGACTTTAAGTGGTAGTAAAGCAGATCGGGATCATCAGAGACAGGTAATGCAGGAAGAAGGACAGCAGTTAGCACAACTTAAGGTAACATATACGTGAAGGCGTCCGCAAAGATTAGGATGAATGTAGATCAAGCTTTCCATGAGCTTGTCCGGGTTATAAGGAAATTTCAAGAGCAGGAAGAATGTCCTCCTTCACCAGAACCAACACGGAAAGAAAATGACAAGAAAGGCTGCCACTGTGTCATTTTCTAAGAATCCCTTGAATTTTAGCTACAAACTGCCAGGAAAAGCCCTCATCTTCTCCCTCTCTCCTTACAGTTAACATCACGCTGGTACCTTTCTAGCCTTAGATAAATGATCACCGTGGTAGCCTTAGACCAAGAAGCTGGCTAATCCTTTCCATGAAGCTAATCCAATGGTCATTCAAGACAGATTTAAAGGAAACACTAAGGCTGCTTCAAAGATTAATTCCTTTAAAATGGATATCTGTATATACAGACACATTCTTTTTTTAAGGGCTTACTTTTAATAAGGATGAATCAGCTTTGGAACCTAAGCTGTTTGCCAAGCTGAAGTCATAGGTTGTGAAATAACTTTTAACTTCTGGAATCATATCACCTGCTATTACTCTAAATAGAAACACAGGGAGTTTTTTTTAAATGTGAATTTTGGCCTATCTCTAAAAATTTTGATGTCAACTTTAGTTAACCTTAAATACACTGAATTGAATTCACAAAAGTGAGACATCTCAGACCTTTACTGATGCCATAGCCTTTGTTTTCCAGTGGCCAAAATACCAAAATGCCTATTGTATTTATAGGTTAAAAACTGCGTGTAAAGCCTCTATTATTATTCCTAAAGATAATATTCTATGTGGCCAAATATTTGGACTCATTCTGGACTTAGGCATTTTAGTGTTCTTGGTTTTTTAATTTAACTCTTTTCACAGCTATGTTGAGAGTAAAAATAAATAATTTCGGTCTGTCTTCCTTTTCAAGTATTTCTGGGTAAGGGATTCAAAAAAACTAAAACTTTTTGTTTATAATATAAAATATGGAATTGATCTTTCCAGGGTCAGAGATGATTAACGTTTTGCTATATACTTTTATACGTTATTTTCTTACCAAACTGGTTAACAAGTATTTTTATATGTTTGTAAGCAAATATGCTCTCACAGCATACCCCGTGTATATGTAAAGATAAGTATTTAATTCTCACTGTTCACTTTTAGCTGACAAAGGAAAAAAAAGTGAAAGCTACAGAAACTGTGGTAGAACCTTACATGCTGTTCTGGTCCTGGTTGTACCCACCTTTGGCCATTCACATAACTACTCAAGAAACCTTCCCAGGGCCTCCCTGGTGGTGCAGTGGTTGAGAGTCCGCCTGCTGATGCAGGGGACACGGGTTCGTGTCTCGGTCCGGGAAGATCCCACATGCCGCGGAGCGGCTTGGGGCGTGAGCCATGGCCGCTGAGCCTGCGCGTCCGGAGCCTGTGCTCCGCAACGGGAGAGGACACAAAAAAAAAAAAAAAAAAAAAAAAAAAAAAGAAACCTTCCCAGTAGAGTACGACAGGATGAGAATCTGAAATCACTTCCAATATCCCCTACTAGATACTGACTGCTATATCAAGTAGTAAGTGGTACAACTTTTAATTGACAATTAATATAACTGTGGGTGACTTCTGATTTTGTTTTTCATTCTGTGGATTGTGTTTAAACAATTCAAAGGTATGTTCCTGATTTTGAGATACTAAGTGGTATTGCGAGTTGTCACTTTATTGAATGCGTACAACAGTTGCACGAAGTTTATAAAGCATATCCTTGTATAGCTTCAGGTGCTAGAATCAAAATTGCTCTGTTATCACACACACACACACAAAAGATTGTTCCAGAAGAAAAAAGAAAAAAAAAAGAGACAAGGGGCTTCTCTGGTGGCGCAGTGGTTGAGAGTCTGCCTGCTGATGCAGGGGACGCGGGTTCTTGCCCCGGTCCGGGAGGATCCCACGTGCCGCGGAGCGGCTGGGCCTGCGCGTCCGGAGCCTGTGCTCCGCAACAGGAGAGGCCACAACGGTGAGAGGCCCGCATACC